CCTCCTCAACCGGTTTAGGAACCGTAATCACCCCCAGCTCTGTGAGAGTCTTGGCTGGTCCCCGTTTTGTCACCCCCTGCTCAGCTAATTGATCACTAGGAGATGGATATTTGAAGTGGTACTCATTTCCACTCCGGGTCGCGAAGACTTCCTGTTCTTCGTCGGAAAGCGGGAAAGTGGCGATTCTTTCGTCATCTTCCCCTGGGATAGCAGAAACTCCATGTAGGCATATAAAATTGCTTATAGGTCCCTTAGCTCAGCTCGGCACAAACCGACAAACCAATGAGGCAACGAGATTGACTAATCGCACGCAAGCAACGGAATACGTCCATTCGCGTGCGGGATCAAGCTAAGTGTTCGAAGAGTCAACAAGTCATCCAACCAAGGGCATACTCGGACGAATCACGATCGAATCAAGATCGGTTTCAGACTCAAATCGACTTACTGCCAAATCAGATCAACGAATCAGAGTCTGAATCAACCAAATCACGGACAGAACCAAAAGACGAAAACACGACGGAACCCAACACCTAGGGGACTCGGCCAAAACCGAGCCACCTCTGGGTGGCTCGGTGGCCGAGCCACCTATAGGTGGCTCGGTGGCCGCCGAGCCACCTAGGTGGCCGGCCACACTGTGCCCAAGGCACAGTGAGGGTAGCCTATAAATAGGCCACCCCCTTGTTCATTTGAGGGTTGGAAATTTTGGAGAGAGGCGAAGCCCTGCTGGATTGGAGACTCAGAACTTAACAAGATTCAAGCTTTGGGACTTCGAGGACTTGCACATCCAGATCTGGTGCTCGACGATCATCAACGCCAAATAAGGCAGGAGTTCGAGAGGACCGGATCTCAGATCTACGTTGCTACACTCCGGATCTAAGCTTGGTCTTAGATCCCGAGACTTGGACGATTGTTTCCTTGGTGAATCAATCCTCCCCGGCTATTATTTCCTTGGTGAAATAATACCCGTTGTACTGCGTAGATCCGACCGGATCTAGATCGCGCGGTGGTCCACGGATTAACCCCGGCGTCGGCAAAGAACCCACACAAGCAAGAGACCGCAAAACAGGATCTTGCGATTCGTTCGACAAATAAGGAGAAAGTTGTAATTTTCTTTATTTCTTGTGTTATTTGATTTTCGTTGTAACCGGATCTAAAAAAAGACCGGATCTTTGTAATCGATAAACTATTACAAGAATTTGCAATGGAATCAATGATGAAGAAAACAACGATTTTCACCGCGAACAATCTGGCGACCACAGTGGGAGCCGACGATCTCGCTGACGAGATCGATGCGTCGCAGCCGCGGATTTCAATTCCGATCGTGGAGGAGATTGAGTACGAGTTTGACCAAACTAAGTTCGAGGAATACTTGTCCTCGTCTGGATCAACCTCCCCCCGCAAGTCTAAGAAGTCCAAGTTCTCCTCCAGGAGAAAGGTTCGTTGGTATGAAGAAGTCGAAGCCACCAACGAAGATCTCGCCCCGTTTGATGCCAAAGTCGCATCGGGTGAGATTCCTCCAGTTTCCAACAAGGTCAGATCTGCTCTGGCCAACTCTTCTGCCACAGAGGGCGTGGTGACTCTCTCGAAGAGAGCCCGCAAAAGGCAACGTCAACGCCTTGCGAAACGATTCGCAAAGGCCATGGAGTCAGTTGACGGGATCCGCTACAACGTGGATCTGAAGAACAAAAGAGGCAAGCAGCCTCAACAATCAACGAATGGTGGTTCCTCCAAGCCGCCAACAATGGAATGGATCCGTGTCAAACAGAACCGATCGACGCTGGAGGAGCGCATTCGCAAGTGCCGCGCACTATCAGCGCAGGCACGGGCTCAAGCCCTGGAAATGAAATGTACTGTTAATGAATGAATAAATAAACTGATACCTGTGACAACCATAGGGAAGCAAGGCTTCTTACGTGATAGTAAACATCTTTCTTAGGAAAGACCGCTTGAAGAACAAGACAAGCCGCAGACTGCAACAGTGGTTCCCGGTCACTCTGAAATATGGCTTCCAGTAAATTCTTGCATTTGAGCTTGTTAAGCTCCACATGTACATCTTCAACTTCAGCAGAAATATGCAACTTGCATGCTGAATAAATCCTAGAGAGAAGCCAGAGAGCATCTGCCATAACTTGCTCATGTACAGGAGCAGTTTGCATAATCCGTTGCTTCCTGCTAACACCACCACCAAAACTAACCCCAAGAGCATGTGCTTCCATGTCCAGGACTGCATCCATTTTTTCCTTCCAACCAAATTCATCCTTTGCTCGGCCATAAATTTCCATACAATCTATTCTTGGCATCGTTGAACCATCAAAGGTTTTTCCAACAGAGACTGTAAATTCTTCATCAGCCAGAAGTGATTCAGCAACTGTAAAAGGGATGTCATACCATGAACGCATGCCTTCATCCAATTTAATAACTCTCTGAAAGATGGTGATTTCAGAAGGAATATGTCTTGCTGATGTATTACCCACGTGTATACGAAGACCCACCATGACTATATCAGGATTTGAATTTGATACTGTAACCTGGAAAAGGAAAAAAGATCATGATATTGACATCTTGTTAGAACCTATAGAATCCAACTATAGCTGATGAGGCAATACAACTGAACAGAGCACATCAATACAACTATAAAAAAAACCAAATGGGAGCAATCTAAAATTTAAAGGAATGGAGGACATGCCCTCTTTTCCATTTTAATTCAAAGAGTAAAATAGTAATTTCACAAGGAATAATTATGTCTCCATTTCTTTTTCTTTTTCTTAGTTTCTTCTAGAACTCCATATCATTTCAGTGTCATGAAAATAAAACCCAAATAATTTAATATTCTTATAAATATTATAAAAAGAAAGTGATAGATTCATTTAAGAAAAAGTAAATGTATGTAATTAAAAAACCAAGGTTATAAACATATATGTATCCTACTACTATACATAAAGAAAATCATGAGGGTATGGATAAAAAAATACAAGTTTTCATACTTCGAAAAAAAATTTAAAAAATGTAAGAAACTAATGTTTTCATATCTCGTGAATTTGCATGTACCAAGTTTGTAGTATATGTATTAGCACCACCTGGTTTTGGATGAAAGTTACCTTGAACCCTGCAGCACTTGAACTTTCTAAAAATCCATCATCTGATGTCAACCGCTGCTTAATACTTTCAGAGTCACTGTTCTTCAAGGCATCACAACTCAGCTTCACATCTGCTGTGATACAAGTTGTTTTCTCAAAAAAATCAAGGGGAAATTCCGTGTTTGAACCAGCATAGGCTCTGTTACTGAGAATGCTGGATCCTATCTTTTTTGTTTGATCTGGATTCGTATTCACTGTAGTGTTTGATCCCATCAGAATATGTGAATAAATTTGAAGGCTACCATCATCATGCAAAACGAGAGAGTGAGTTTCATCTTTAGATAAAGGCTTATAGGCAGCAATTCCGACCAAAGGCAAAGCTGATCCTCCACCATATCGCATGTGCTGTGCTAATACCTCACGAGGGCTCAAGGACACTATAAGTGCAGCATTTGATTTAAGACTCGAAAGACAAGCAAAAAAACCACTACCAGGAAGCAATTCTCTCCAATGATGCAATGCAGCTGGTTTGACTTTATTATCTTGCTCATCTTCATATACAGCTGATATCTCGCTAAGGGAAGCTGCATTTGCATCCAGACGGCCCATTATTGAAGTTCCATCTTGGTAAGATAAGAAGAGCAACCTGTAAGATGCAGCAAAATGCAGTGAAAGACCTTTTGACTGCATACTCTTGCCCTGAACCTGGATGATCTCACTCAGTTCTTTTGCCCCAATATCTCCCTCCATTGAAACTTGCAGCCTGAATAGGCGTCCAGATACTGACAGAACAAGAAGAAACACTTTCCCCATGGGAGCTGGGACAAGTGTTGCATCCATAATCAGATCATCACATAATGTGGAATAATGTACGGGACTAATGTTATCCTGGGAAAGGTCGTATATCTTTACAAACATGTTTGTGACCACCATTAATTGGACCTGAGAACCAGGAACCCACTCAACTTTACGAATATAAGCACCTTGTAGAGCAAGTTCAAGAGCAAGGCGATCAGTTACTTCCCCGCGAGGATTTACAGTAAGCACCTGGCAGTCTTCATACCCAGCTACGACAAGATAATTTTCTGTGACAGGATTGAACAGTAGATGAACTATTTCAAATCGTACAATGTTCTTGGAAAGCGGCTTAGCATTGGTCTTATCCGCTGTCACAGGTGCAACTGTAGGCTGTCCAATTAGTTGTCCAACATCAAATATTGCCACTTTGTCGCCTTCTCCAGCAGCAAGCCTACCTCTAACGCTGATGCTAAGCAATGACTTGGTAAGAGAACCACTGGCCAAATGTGATTTCAACTCCCTGGAGTTCGGATAATCAGCTTTTATCTTCAGGTCAAATGAACCACTTTTATAAGCTTTTTTTAACTGAAAAAGATCAACATTGTATGATAACACCTTGTCATCACCTAGTAGTACCTTTTTATCTTTAGAAAGGTTTGATTCCCTATGATTGAGCACCGTAGGAAGCAGTCTATTACAGAGTTCAAGTACTTGATCTTCTAGATTAAGATTCTCCAGCATCACAGGCAGTCCTTCTTGTACCTCTCTAGGGATGGACAACTTAAGAAAATTGTCAATATCTGCAGAACACAAATCATCATCCCAGTCTGACTCACTGTCTACTATGGGATCGCCATCCTCAGGAAAGGGCAGAAATGGTTGAAAGTTACTGGTACTCTGAGCTGGCATACTGCTGCTTCCAGTAAGCTTCCGCGGCTTCAGACACTGACAGCTACTTCCCCTAACACCACCAGCACCACAGTCACAGAAAAAGCGACTGGATCGAGAATAAACAACCCGATGTCCACGATGGCAAACCTTTGCACAGATAGAACAGCAGCCCTTAGAAACAGTCAAGTCGCAAGTATAACAGAAATACCAGTGTTGTTCCACAAAGTTGCTGCCACTAGATGTGAATGTGCATACTTTAGAGGCAAGCGCTCTTTCACTATTACACTCCTCTTCTTCAACTTTGTATATGCTACCCAATTCCCCATCTGAGGTCCCGTCGTCATCATCATCCTCGTCTACAGAGGTGGCATCACATTCGATTGAAGCAGAAGATCGTTCTGCATTTGTTGGAAGAAGTAAATTTTCTGTATCTTTTCTTGAACCATCAGATTTCAAAAGTACAGATCCCGAGCCAAAACTATTGCTTGCAGAAAGCTTGGACGGAAGTCCAGATGAGGTATTCTTATTTGCTCCCAGGTCACCCAAAACAGCACCTAGAAAGGATAAAAGGAACTTCAGTCCAGGAAGCAAAGCTTCATCACCTACCAAATTGCCCATTAACCTCACAGTCTTCTCCACAAGTAGCTTCATCGAGGACTCCCCATTCAAAAGTTTGATTATAGAACTGAAATAAGCTTTGGCACTATTGATATCATGTAGAGTAAATGCACTATCAAGCGACATAAGCATTGCCTCAATAAATTGACTGTGGAGCTCTGCTGAAAAGCCATCACCCGGTTGTAATGCTAGACGTGTCACCAGTTCCATGGTTGAGTCTCTGAGTGCAGTGGAACTTCCTTTTGCAGTAATGATCCCATCTGAAGACTTTGTAGTGCATCCTAAAAGCTTAATTTCCAACCAATGTGATAGACGGAGCAAGTCCATTCCAAGAAACTTCTTTTGCAACCTCTCTTTCAGAGCAGGACATTGCTCGTTAGCTAAAAGATCAACAAGCAAGTTAACTACCTTCAAATTAACTGCCTCCAAAGAGCATTTCTCTAATGCATCAATGAGAACCAAGATATCACCATGTTGTTGACCAAAAAGTTCCTTGACTTCTTCAGACACACATGTATCAGAACCCACGTAAAATTGGAAAACTGCAGCTTTAGAATCGTCATGTTGAAGACCATAAATAATATCAACAAGACTTGTAATAAGCATTTCATGGATTTCAGCATCTGCTGTCTGTCTGGAATTGATGTCTGCTAAGAGGCCCTCTATTTGTTTCAGTCCATACAAATCACTCAAACCTGACAGTTTTCTCTCACGAGGAATCAAACTAGCAAATATTGCTTCACAATTATTGTGGATGGATTCAAAAATTTTATCAGATCTCACAGCCATTACAGAATCAAGAAGATGGCAAGCTAAATCAGTTTCAATAGGAATGTTTTCTACTGCAGCTTTCACTTTGAGATAAATATCCAACATACAAACTAGTTCTCTAACAGCAAGAATAGAGGAAAGAAGAGTACCACTGGAGGAATCAGGATGTACTGGAAAGCCATGCAGGACACCCTCCAAGAGGAAACTGTTCATATTTCCTCTATCTTCTTTTGCGACTATTTCATTTGATTTCAATAAGAGACCATATAAGGATTCCAGTAGTGAAGGACTAGAACCACACTTCTTGAGTAAAACCTCTTGTCTGTTCTTGTCAAACCCGTTGTGCTTAAGCAACAACAACGAAGAAAAGCCATCCCCATAATCTCTCTTCTGATCAACTAGTGAAAGAAATGCTTCCTGAAGAACTTGCAAATACTTCCTCAGGAATGAGGAGAGTAATCTTAAAAGCAGTCCACTTTTACTCTCATTAAATATATTAGCAATTATGCTTTCTGCAACACAGAACCCATTTCCATCACTCGGTTGAATCCAACCCTGCTCAACCCCAGGAATCTCATGTATCATAGCATATTTGCAAATGCCAGAATGAAGCAGAGAGAGTATTAGGGATAGCCATGCAGCCTTCCTGAAGACGTCCCAACTTGGCACTGCAAGTTTATCTGGTAATTGCTCCCTGTCTAACCGCTGAAGTAGATCCAAGATGACCTCTGAGAGATTAATATTCTTGCTAACAGCAGAAGTATCATTCAAAGCAATATGGCCGAAGTGAAAGAAAGACTCGCTATTCGACAAGTCAATACCAGCCCAGGTGCTTCCCAAAGGAAGCATATTCCTCGCATCAGGACTGATACTGAAAACAGTACCCCAGCAAAGCAAGTATATGTATCTTTCCACAATAAGTTGATCCACAGTTTCAGCTTTTCTACCTCTCCAGAAACTAAGTATCCATGAGAACTTGGAAATGATGTCAGCGCAATTCAAGCCTAGGGCTTGGAAAGCACTGTCACAGGCTACAACAGGATGAGGCACAGTATCAATCATCTGAGAAAGCAGCAGATTAAGATCTGCAGCTTCTTTGATGGCATCACCTAGAATACTCTCCACCACAATCGATGTCCAGGATGGCACATGATCAATTAGGGACTCTGAAAAATATGCTCTGAATGGGGCTTCCCTCAGTCTAGATTTCAACCGCAGAAGCAACCATGAAGGACAAGCAGATGGGTAAGATACCATATGTCGCAGCACCAAAACTAGCCTTGAAACAGTAATAGCCCAGCAGAGAAGCTGCCTTCCACTGAATCCAGGCTTAGGTGCATCTATTTTTCTGACAGAAGAAAATATATAATTTGCTAGAACAGCTTTGTCACTTTCATTAGACAGGTGGAAGGCTATCAACAGAATTTCCAAGTAAAAGGTGCAAGGGAGAGTCTTAAAGAAATCATTAGCTCCAGGACATTTGCAGCTAATATCCTTTGCCTTCTCAAGAACGAAACCAACAAAGGCTTCAAAAATTTTCATTGTCAAATGACTATCATCTAAACCCACTTGAGCAATAAGAGCATGAGATAATAGAGTAAGAGTATAATTATTATAGATGTATGCTCCGTTTTCTACCTTTAGGACTTGATCAGCAATGTGTTCTTTAAGAGAGCTCGACAAAACACGGCGAACAAGAAGATTCTGCAAAAGATCAAAGCATAAGTCACTAACATTCCCATGTGTCCCCTGTGATGACAAAGCAGTACAGTTCCCAGAATACTTTTCATCCGGCACAGAAGATTGACAGGTAAGCAATGAGATTAGGAAATTTATGTGGCTTTTATCAATCTTTTTGCAGGCATCATCATAAACTGCAAAATTCCATTCTGAAGAGAAGATATTCTCTTTGAGAAAGCCCAACAGTTCAGTAGTCGCTTGGATCAGCAAAAGATGACTACTCGAGACATCAGGAACTGTATTAGTTGGTTGATCAAGCCCATCTGACAATCCAGCAGGTCGGCTAGCTTCTGAGAAAAGATTCCCAAAAATGGCTTCATCTTCATGTCCAGCTGTACCATCAGTTTCCAAGGTAACAGCAGTTTTCATGCAGCTTTCTTGAAACCTTTCCACCTTCGGCTTTAATTTCAGTCCTTCACAGTGAAGGAAAAAGGCAAGATGAATCAAATCATCCAGCCATTGCTTTGATGGAGGAAATAATGTCCTTAGATATTCTTCATACGTATACCTCTTAAGCAAATGAAATTTCTCAGAATGAATTTGGTAAGAAAGACCACCCATTGCAGAACTGCACAGGTAGTCAGGTATTTCCTTCTGATTATGTGTATAAGACGCCCAATTTTTAGCTTCTTTGAGAAGCTTCAGAACATGTAAAACAATCTGAGGCCAGTAAACCAATGGAGGCCTAGAAGAAGATTTTGACTCATCATACCTCCACGTCTTAGAATCCAAAATGTCTAAAATGGAGGCAAGCAAACATGCACGAATGTTCTGAAATACATGGCCATCCAAGAAAATGACCTGGACAAGCTGTAGAAATTCCTCCAGTACTAGTAATACAGGGCCCCCAAAATTGCCAGTGCTCGTTGGACTACAGGTTACGTAGTCCATTTTCAATCTGAACAGTGTTGGAATTGTATCTGCACAGCCTATGATTGCATGTAACAGCTCAGCATCAAAAGCATCAAGATGAATTTCCTTGGCAAGGTATCCTATTAATTTAAGGATCCTGTGACTGAAGGACAATCTCACGCTAAAGTTAGCATCTTGTGTTTCTATCTCAACTGAAACGAGGGAGCCATGAAGTGTTTTACAAAGCATAAGGAGGCGAGGGATGCATTTCAAATGGATAGCTACCCAGTGTTGTGCCAAAGACGCTGTGCTGTCTATAGAGCGAGGTAAAGGAGATTCGGCAAACTGTGTGGCAAGAATATCTGGTTGCAAACACTCTGAAGAAAGGTTCTTCAGAATATCCTCCACTGAACTCCCATTCTTCAAAGAATTAACACCTATACCAGAAAAAGCATGTAATCCACTTGCTAGAAAAAACTAAAATCAGTGAGTCAGTGGAAGTAGAGTCTAAATATGCATACAGCATAGGCATTACCTTGCAAATAAAATATAGGATCATCATGCAAGCTCAGGCTATCGGGTTTAACAGGGATTACTGACAATAGCTCTACATAGGAATTTATGTGGTCTTGGTAAGTTCCGCCATGTTCCCTGAATGAAACAGCACAGAGAGCTACTTCCAACAGCTGCGCCAAGCTATTCTGTTAAATGATGAGAAGTGGGTATGATGTTAGAACTACTTGAAGTAATAGGAAACATAAGTAACACTGTAAAAGCATCCACCTACAAGGTAAACCTTAAAAAAGCAGAAATTTAAAAGAACTCAAAGAAGTTTCCATTTTCTCCGAAATGTAAGAATAATAACTGAAAACCAAAATAAGTAGAAAAGTTGGACAAATCAAGGCATCCAAGAAACTAACAAATAGGGTAGTTTTCACAAAAGCCCCCCATGAACTTTGGTGTGCTTTGCACAAAACCCTCTTAAACTTCATAAAAATTAGATAAAGGCCCCATGAACTTGTTTCACTGAAGTACCATGACCGATGGAAGTTGGTTTAAGATGTCATATGCTTCGGATGTGACATGTTTAGGACATCTTTGCCCATTGTAAAAT